TTTTCTTTCTCAGCATCCCCAAGTCTTCTGCAGCTTGTTAGGACATTTTAACAGGGCTTTCTGTACTTGGCTTCCTCCAGCTTGCTCTTCGCATGGCTTCCACTTTTATAAAAATCTCAATCATTTCTTTTCAGATCTTTCATTTGTCTTCCCTACCAATGCCCACTCAGAAGCATCTTTCAACCCAATAGGAATGAAAGACTCCTCTGTCTTGCCACGTGAATTCTTCCTGGAATTAATGACATTATTAATTCTAATCCACTACTTAATCTCAATACCTCTCTCTTACCTAGTACTTTTTTCTCCTGGTCACACGTATTCAGTTCATACCAAGCTCTTGTAAACTCTCTGGCTATATTTCTTAGAGTAACTCTGTTTTCCCTCCCCTTAAAGTTCAGCTCCAGCTAACAGTACTAATGTAATGAATTAATGGTACTAATATAAGTACTCATGATTCTTGATAACATGAAATAGTTTTTTGTTCGTTTGTTTTTATTTCTGTCCCTGCAGAAATTAGCCTACTGTACTAAAATTGTCCTTTCTTAATATTGTATAAACTTACAAGCTAAGTGTGATGGATCAAAGGGGTCAAATGAAAAAGACAGAATATTTTCTGCATAACTTTTCTTCCAAAGTTTGGTGCCTGTATCTGCATTCCACAGTACAATATAGTTAGGTGGATGAACTGCAAGAAGTAGATCTCTAGAGGCATCTTGATTCCACAACCACTGCATGTCTGTCAAGACAAAGAAGGAAAAAAGTCAGCTTTGAATTTATTAAAAGAAAGACCTATTTTAGAATTATTCTTTTTCTGTAACACCTTATTTTTAAGAAACAAATACTCACTTACGAACATCATGTTTTCATTTCTTGATTCTAAAATACAACTTCCTTTTGTTCCCTAAATTTACATTTACAACAAGTAAGAATGCAGTGGATTAACCATGTCGACACACATGTGCAAAACCCACACCCCAGCAGAAGGATTCATTTTCTTTTTTCAGCCAGGAAATTTCTATATGCAACAACACACTGTACTAAGTAGAACCATCACGGGGTACCAATGAACAGAACAATACAAGACCCCAGATTAACACTTAAAAATTAAAATGGTGTCAGCACTAGACAAAGAAGAAAATGTATACTCCAAGTAGTTTTAACAGAGAGTACCGAGTTCAAAAGTAAAATAAAAGTGGCTGTACAATGGAATTTTAGTTGTTGCTTATTGACTTTGTTTCCCTACCCAATAGAAGAGCAGACTGAAAGGCTCCCATGAGGTCTGCAAACGTGAAAAAAACAAAAAACACCTTCATGTGGCACAGGTAAAACCTCTTTAGAAATTCAGTGACTCAGTGTCAGGGACAGAAAAACAACTTGTAACACAAGAAAATGCTAGTAAAATTTACTGCACTCCAAGGCACAATAAATATTCAGTGTCCTACTATATGACTTACAGGCAGTGCATAACACCTACTTTCACAAGGTTTATAAAAACAGAAGTATAATGTAAAAAACTAATTTGATAAGTGGGTTTTCAGGTGTTCGAATTCAAAATAACATAAAAATGCAAAGGTGATGTTAAGCTTTTAAAAAGAGACCAAATGAACCATATATTATTCTTAGATTTTTTTTTCCACTAAAGAAAGGTACTCTAAATTCAGAAATAATTTGTAGACATGTTGCTAATACAATGTTTCAGCTACACAGGAATGTGCTTTTGCACAAGTCCCTCCCTGCAAAATCAAGTGTTGCAACAGTAGTACAATCAACTACAAACTGCACCAATTAAGGCTATAATAAACATGATAATGGCTACCTGAGGTTACTAGGAAGAAAGTCCACATCTTTTGACTCCATTACTGTAATTTCTAACTGTACTGCTAACTAACGTACCATAATTAATGCAACACATTCACCTCACTAACAGACGAACATAAATGAAAGCCAGGAGAAATACTATTCCTTTCTCATCTTCTCTTAGTTGTGTTAAAGTGGCTAAATTTTCTATTCCCTCCCCTTTCAGTCCAATTATGATTACATTAAGTTTTGCCTGGCACTGCAGTCAGATTTCAAATGCTTAGTTTCTTTTTCCATTTCATTCCTACTTCCCTCAAATTTTGTGAAATGTGTACATTTTTAAAAACCAGGCTGAAAATTACTGAATTAGTCTTTTTTTTATGCAAACAAGATAAAGATTCTTAAAACATCCAGCTCCCCAGAACTGTTTGGGTAGAGTTTCCTGGGTATTTTCCAGACCCTCCCTGTTGCACTGGGCTACCATATATAAAGCAGAAACATAAGAAGCAAATGCCACTTATACTAAGCTATTTTCTCAAATGAAAGTAAAAATCATATGCATCCACACCAAATTTCCCCTTTCTCTTGACTGTTCAATTGTTAATCCTTCACATTTATTCTCTATTATTGCTATCTACGCATAGAGAATCAATACTGTTCCTATAAGCAGTTAATTGGACAGATGCCCAGAAAAAAAAATCTCTATGTTTACATTGCAGATTTATGGTACCAAGCTAGTACGGTCAGCCGACAGCAATGAATCATTTAAAAAAATTCAAAAAAACCTCTAACTTACAGCGATGTTATGCTGTAAAGACACTACACGTATACAAATAGCATTAATGTTCAGATGGAGTGCAAGCTGCACTAGAATTCCAATTGTAAAACAGGAAGAGGTACCCAACACTTAATAGTATGATTTCAGTCAATAACATTAATGAAAATGGTTTGCAACTTTCTGTCAAAAGAACCTGGAAAATATTACAAAGAATTAACACAGCATCACTTTGGGAGATGCTAAGTCTTACACAGAGAATGAGGAAATAAACATACAGAAGCTGCATAACCCCAAAAGTAAAATTCAGTGGCAGAACTGAGCATGAGTTTATAAATCCCAGCTGATGGATTTATACAATAGGCTCCCTAAAGTAACTTCCATATAAACTCTGTAGATTATCATTACCTTGAATTGGCTTTGCATGTTCTTGTATTTCACAGCGAGCTGTTCCAGTTGCTACATCCCAAACAATTATTTTTCCAGAAGCATCAGCAGAAGCTAAACGTAAAGAATACGGAGAGCCAACATTGTGATGGTAGTTTTCTTTAGCCCATTTAACCTGAAGATACAAACGAAAACTGGTCAAAGGCTAATTAACTGGTAACGGTACCTGGGACAGCAAATATTTAAGAATTATCATTAGGCAGCACTACTTTGAAAAAAATGGATTTGCGAGTGATAGCTGGACAGGAAACTAGCCACTCTCTGGCTACCCATCTACCTCTGCTATGACCAGGATGCACTTCAAAAAGCATAGCTGAATACTTGAAATAAAACATTACATATGTACACACGCACAGTAAGCACTCTTAAATGACTTCTAACTATTAAGCTCAGGCATATTTCTATCACAGTAGCCAGAAAAGAATTCCTGGGTGAGTCTCCTCTATCTGTAAACTTTAGCTTTGTAATTCCTGCTTCCTGCTGTTAAAGGCAAACAAATAAAAAGGCCAGAAAATCTGTGAGGGCACCTTCATGTGAATTGGGCAAGTATAATATTAAAAAAAAAATGCATAGAATAGCAGAAATCAACAAGTTATTTCTTCCTCAGACAAATAGATATCGCTTCCAAACTAATACCAAGCTGGGAAAACCTCAGTTCCCAAGGGTGGAGCTGCCAGCAGTTATGTACAGTAAGAAGTGAGTGGTTTTAAGCAGAGCACGTGCAGCTCTAACAACCTAAGCCCTCCTTCCCGTCGCACTCCACCAGAATCCCACACACAATTCCCTCCTAGGAGGACTGATTTTCTCACTGTGTTGATCATTGCCTTTCCATCCTGACTGACAAAAGGAACTTTCAGTGAGAACATTACTTATTCCAGACAAAGTTAGCAAGCCAAAGGAGTATTTAAAAAAATAATAATTAAATGGAATGCAGTGGGATTATGAAACAATTGTTTATTTATTTGCTTTTTAATTGCAGACAGTGATGGGCTGTAAAGGCTAGCCTGAGGATAACTAAGGCCAAGGACATACTTAACCAAACAAGGTGTCAAGGGAAGCAAACACAGATTCACGTAGTACCATTTATTCCAGGGAAGTGGTCATGTACACACCTGTGCTCTGTGGTAACTCTAAATAACCTCCTCTTAATGAGAATCAGGAAAGTTACCTCTGAATAGACTGTACATACTGGCAACACGTGCTATACATTCAAAGCAATGTTACAATAAATACACAAAGCTAAAAATTTATATTAAGGTTCTATTCTGAAATTTAATTCTCAAAATTCATTTCTGCTGTAAACAACTGTAAGATTCCTCCTAAACAAGCTAGAGTGACAATCCTATTCTGTTAATTGTTCTGAAGTCTACTCTATTTTGCCTTATAAAATATTACCTATTGGAGATAGAAGACTCAAACTATCCATTTTAATTTAGCTTCATATTTATCCAAAAACAGAATTTCTGTACAGTGAGGTGACTAACATCTTTCCTCTGATACAGGCACAAGAAGTTGTTCCTACAGAAACGATAAAACAACTCTCCTACATAAGAATTGCAGACGAGACACAGCCCCTACTCTGTTCTACTCTGGCTGTCCACAGACCATGGAAAAAAAGCATCTGCAATCCAAGAACCTGTGTAGAACTTTATGAAGACCACAGAAGAACAGGATAAGATCTGTATTTCCCCTCAACAATTATTAAAACTGTCCTACAGAATTTCTAAGTATTAGCAGTTTTCCAAAGACTGGGCATCACCGATACATCTGATCATATTTTACTGCCATGGCATCTAAACTAAGAGCTACTTAACATTAAATCAAACACTGCCCTAAGCTCTTTCTGAACCAGTCACACTCCACGCTCAAACAAATGATTTATTAAAGAAATGCATCCTGTTCCACACTTGATCCAAAGTTAAACACTCTCGCTGATGCCATTGCAAGTTGGGGATCAGCAAATGAAAGTGTTTCTCTTACACTTAACATAAAATTTTATCTATATTTTTTATGGCTATAACAAAGAGGCCAGAGTTTTGGTTGTCATTTATAGGCAAAACAGAAGAAAGTTAAAGAAACTTTCTTAGTGAATGATGGGTTTCTTGGAACCTTTTTCTCTGTCCTACAACACCATCAAGCATATTTCTACTTATCTATACTACAATATCAGCTAAAACTGATTTAGCCGTAAAAGAGATCATTTAAAATACTGGTGTTTTATAACAGACAAGCTCTATATAACATCAAGTACTTACAGCGATTTAGAATAACACTTCACATAGCATAACCAGATAATATACCTTAAAGCACATATCTCACCTTGACAACGTTAGCTTTGTGTCTTTCCAGAACTTGCAAAGTCTGAGCAGTATTGGCATCAACTACCAGCACAAGCGAATGACATCCATATGCAATCAAACCCTGCCATCCCCTGGAACAGCATGCAAGATCATCAAACGGGCAAAAATTAACAAAACACCCTTAACAATACCTTTTTTTCTTTTTTTTTTTTGTAGGATGATTTCATACTACTAACACAAATATCACACAGTAACATAAAACCCCAAAGCCCTGTGAATCGCAATTCCAGGACCATCTGCTGCAACACTTGCTGTTGTGACCCTAGGAAGCCCCAGAGCATCTCTTTGTGCCCACCTATAGACACCCCTTGCAACCCTGACTTTTACAAATGAACAGACTCATAATAAAACAC